CCATTCGAAGGAACATTCCGAAAACTTGTAAATATCTCTTATAAACTTCAAAAAAATGGTCATGCTGGACCATGAGAGTGGACGAAAAGCGCGCCGGTCCCTCGCGGCGGTTTTCCCGCAAAACGCCATGGTCGTCAATGGGTTAAATGTATCGGGCGCCATACAATTCTTCATAGACGTGATGGCATGTCGAGTTCCAGAAGGGAGCATTGAAGGAGCGATATTCGTCTTGCCTAAGATAGTGGGTAGACAGATAGACGTGGCTGTCGAAGATGCAGTAACTGTTCCGTCAGGACGACGAAGGGAAGTCCGGGCTTTGCGGATGCTTTTTACGGCTTCTTCTCTCGTTCATATCTTCCTTTATATCTTCTCTGTATAGCTTCGCAAGTTCGAAGTTTTCTTGATGACTGCCTGTAACTCGCGATTCCACGCTAGCGCATGAGCTCGATAGTCTTCGAAGAAAGTCGTCTGTTTGCTACTTGTTGACTCTCTCCTTTCCCAGCACTACCGTGAAGGTGTTCAACGGGTCGGTTGTATCATCGATGATGTCGATAACGGAATCTTCCAACTCACTCGCAAGGGAAGCGATGTGGTCTAAGTTGATGGCGTCCTGTAGCTTCGTTTCCTAAATTTTATAGCTCTCTCTCTCGACGCACTGAGAAGAAGAATCTAGCGCGTTGAAGGCGATAGTCCAATCCCGTGTAAAACGTCGGTACAACAGCGAGATCTGTTAGGCAACACCTCCGATTAAAGGTGATGTAGTATATTTCATCATGGAACTGTCCACTAGGTGACTCCCTTGTCCATCGGGAATGAGAGGGCTTCTGGAACTGCGAATACTACGGATGGTGTGGGTTGAAATGATAAACTCGGACAGCTCATTCCTCCTTTTCACACCGCTCATTCCATTCCATTACGTGAGCCCAGATGTGGAGCTCTTCAGATGTTCTTTTAGGGTCAATCTGATGTTGAAATCACCGACGATGAACTTGAAGAAGCTATGGTCTTCATGTAGAGCCTCTCCAGATCCGTAGAGAACGCTTCCAACTCTTCTTCTTCGTAGCTTGATGTTGGTGCGTAGGCAAAGAAGACGATTAGAGCTGGGCTTGATCCACATTTTCTCAGTCGCAAACGCCCGATTCGGGTTGTTAAGCTTCTGCACGAATCGATGTTCATGGCCAAGTGCGTATTGACGAAGACACCTACGCCGCCGACGCCTCTGCTATCGCATGTTCCTAGAGACAGTTCTTCTGCATTCTCGAATACAGCGTGCAGCGGGCGATGCCTTCTCGCCTCGGTCAGTCCGATGACGTAATTGATCTTCCTAGCTTGCATGATCAGGTCTTCTATACAAGCTTCCGATGCAAACGTCTGTGCATTGAAAGTACAGATAGCCAAAGATAAGAAGAGTAATAATTATGTACTCGTGACAGTGTTGCTATCATCATGGTAAGTACTATGAAAATAAATATACATAAATGCGTACATAAGAACCACACTGTACCCTCTAAGAACAGGTACGGCCTCTACTAAAGCTAACACCGAGCCATCCGGAGAACCCACCTTCCGGTAGAATCTCGGCAACCGATTCATCCACAGCGGCTGTCAGTACATAGAACTCCTTGTTGTTCCTTAATTTGGCAAAACCGTGTGCAATCTTACTAGCATTGAACAATAATTGGAAGCATTGCACGTGCATTGGTGCAAGCTGGAACTGCGCTAGATATGGTGCAGCAAGAGGTAGGATGATGGAGGACGGAGGACGAAGGCGATGATAATAATGAACGACAGAGACCAGAGTTGCAGGCGAACCATAGCCACAAGACGTCCTCCCGCTCATTACCAATTACCGTAACTTCTTGGCGGGGTCACGGCACGCACCTGGCCTCTTTACCGTGAAGTAGACCGAACGGCAAGACACCGAGACAACGAGTGCCCGATCAGTCCTTTGGAACACCCGCTACTGCTACGGCCACTCTCAACGGTAGGTAACTTCTACAGGGTGGCTACAAAGTATGGTCCGTCAAATCACACGTCGCTTGTTAGCCTGTTAATCCCTGTTTCAGCTGTGCAATATATGCTCTGAATAAAGTATGTCAGTCATGCACTATAGCCAAATTATCGCGACTGTCGGTAGAAGTACCTCGGAGAAATGCACCATCTCCTCACCGTGCCACAATCGCACATCTCGTAGACGAAGGATGTTCCGCTGCGGAGATTGCAAGAAGGCTGCACATTAACGATAGAACGGTCAGAAGGATTGTAACCCAGTGCAGGGAGCGTGGACACCATCTACCACTTCCAAAATCAGGGCGTCCAAGAACTGTCAATTTTCCTCGGATTCGGAAGGTGATCAAGAAGAGGATCTCACGCAACGAAGAGGTCAGCATGAACAAAATTGCCTGGGATTTGCATATCTCACGAAGAAGTGTTCAAAACATTGTGAAATATGAACTAGATTTACACAGTTACCGCTTCTTCCGAGGCCGGATGCTCGGCGAAGCAGTAAAGAAGAACAGACAGGAAAATTGTCAGAAGATTCTGGTAGCCTGTCTCTTCTGTCAAAAACTTTACGGTCGAGGTCGCGCACGACAGCTAAAACCAGCTGCAATTGCTACCTCGGGCAGAGAAAAACTCCAGAAAACATGAGTAAAAACCAGGAGCCTGTTTCCGAAGTCGGTGATGGTATGGGCTGGAATAAAATCAGAAGGCAAAACACCTCTCGTTTTTCATCAAAATCAACTCCGAAACTTACCAGAATGTTATTTTAAGGGACACGCTGTTGCCATGGGCCCGAAATCACTTTGGAGTACGGAACTTTATCTTGAACAGGACTGGGCACCAGCACATGGGTCGAAATCCACGACTTTCTTTNCACCTCTCGTTTTTCATCAAAATCAACTCCGAAACTTACCAGAATGTTATTTTAAGGGACACGCTGTTACCATGGGCCCGAAATCACTTTGGAGTACGGAACTTTATCTTGAACAGGACTGGGCACCAGCACATGGGTCGAAATCCACGATTTTCTTCTGCCGACATCATTTTCCTGGTTTCTGGGACAAAGACATGTGGCCATCTAACTCCCCAGACCTCAATCCAGTGGACTACTCCGTTTGGAGCTATCTGCAGCAGAAAATGTCTTCGTCACCATAGCGCAGTTTGGACAGTCTTAAAGCAGCTCTTCAGAGGGAATGGCAGAAAATCGATGTCGACTACTTGCGGCCCACCGTGGGAGCCTTTACGAAGAGATTGGAAGCTTGTATTTTGGCCAAAGGCGATCATTTTGAACAATACCTCGAATAAATGTTCCTTTATCTTAGTCATACCATTTGACGAAAATTCTTGAAGAAATGTGTCCTATTTATTTTTTTACATGCGAATAAATACCGGACCATACTTTGTAGCCACCCTGTAGTTGTGTACGTTGGCCTTCCCCATTTTCCTTCATCATAGCTTCTTTTCGAGGAGCCGCCTGTGAGCATGACTTATGGTTGTGTTTCTGTGTTGCATCAAATAAGAATTCACACACTCAATACGCCACCACGACTCTCACTGGAAATGGGGGCGCATCCCAGTAAGAGGATTGATCAACGCCGAACACCTTTATGCGGATCCGTTTTCGACATTTGACACTATTTTTGAGGGACCACGGCTTCAAGGGACACAATCAACGTTATTTTAGGTAGGAATGGTTTGCCTTTACGTGACTGGAATGATCCTTTTTGGACTTCATTCGGCAAACTCTTTGAGCCGCTTTCCGAAACTGCTCCTCATATCAATGGACGGCTTGAGATACGATTCTATTTCTGATTATACAGTGAGTGCAAATCCATCACCATTCCGAGGAAACTGTGATAATCTACCGAAGACCGAATCTTGAAGGTTCCAAATATATATAGATGGGCTACTCAAAATACATGGTTTTTAAGAGGCATGAGACCACAATATATGTCTATGACGTCAACAAACTACATGGGTATGGTGACAGGTGAGATATCTACAACTATTACTCCAAGTTTTGGAGGGTATAAACAACATTGCAGCCGATCATCAATTTTTTACGAAACGTCCGACTTCCTCTTGTTCGTATCAAGTCAAGTGTGCACTAACTTTTGATTATCCTTGCCAGAGGGTTTTAAATAAGCGTAATTGCTGTACAAAGATGATGTTACGGCATCATCTCGAGAGACTCTTGAACAGCTCCTTCTACTGTGTGCTTCTCACCTGCCCTTTTGACATGCCTGATGTTGCCCGCTAATTTTGCGCTAATTCCTGTACGGGTTTCGTCTTTGCCAAAAAGCAAAGGATAAGGGACGGAATAAACTGAGCAATGCCTCGAAAAATTCAGAAGAGGACGGAGGAAGTGTGAGCGACTTGCAGTTGCGTCAGCTTATTTAAGAGTGTTCCAGGAAAGCACTGATTACCTTGGAGCAGCACCTTACATCTTTTGTCTAAATCGCCAATGCCTTAGACGATTCCACAAGAGTTGAGCACATCAGACTGCAAAATCGCCGCAACGCAGCTCCTCTCGAATTCTAATTCCAAACTGGATTTTCGATACTGTGGCAATGGACGGTAGTGGACAATTTCGTAGATGTAGGCCGATGAGGAGTCAAAACATACTGTACAACTTGGCTTCTGGATGTGCTAGCCAGAACGGGTTTGCAGATAAGGCCCGTAAAATTGCAACTGAGCCCCTCCCCAAATACCCACCTCATCTCATGGAGTTTCCTATCAATGAGATGATTTTTAGGCCTCCATGCTGAAAGTCATGGGATCGTTTCCAACGCTTTCTATGATATTGATAAAGAGTCAGGCAGTATCGATTTGTGAGTTAATTAATAAGATGCGCACCATAGATCTCAGCGACAAATATTGTCATTTTAGCTTTGACTATTGGAATTACACCGCGAGACCAGGAATGAACGGGAATGCCAAAAAAAGGTCATGGTATACGGGAGAACCCATATGGATTACAAATGAAAGGTACCACACTGATGGTCACATTGAATAGGTTCACCTTTGTTATTTACTCATTACTGGCACCTCTCAGAGAATTGCAGAAACAAGGTTTTCTGCAACACAGTAATTACTCACACTGGTGCGACACTAACGTTGAGGGTTTGTTCTACTTCCTCGATTCCTCTCCACCTCCTCCCTCTATCGCCTTTACCTCTCACCTTCACGGACTGGCCCGGAAAGTGGTAGAATGAGCATACTGTGTTACTAAATATGAGTCCATTTACAGGGCAAGTCTAGAGAGGCACTCGGCTTGCATTCAATGGCCCATGTGTGACGCATCCTTCCCCGACGGATGGACGCCAACGTACCAATCGTATGCTTTTACATGATTCAAAAAAGAATGTCAATTCATTACCACAATTGAAGAATTCTGTCTAAGCTACGATAAAAATACTACAAATGCAACTGCACAATAGCCTAAGCCATGAATTTGAGGGATTTTTCGCTAGTAGCTACATTTATGAACTACTAGTGACCTGAAGTGATGTCATAATGAAACATTCCCTCGCAAATTGTCAGCGGTAGCGATTGACTACCATCAACACCAACCTTCCCATAAGGTAATCAGGCGTAACGGCGCTGCACTGGAATCAAGTGACAAACTCCAAAGGTTTTAGTGATATTTTGTCAGCTACAGCTACAAACAATGACGAGGAATGGCAAACTCACTGGGGTAACGGAACTTTTCCCCGACTGTGGCATTCTCCCTTGCGGCATGCGGCAAATGTCACTGCAGTAACCGTACTCACCCCGCCTCCCGCCAATCGATATGACGCAATATTTTCCGTTGGTTGCCTTTCTTCTTTATTGGTTTTATCGTTTTTATCTTCCTTTTTCTTGTTTTNTATGTATATTAGATTTAATTAGAATGACTCTTCCTATATTAGCGACGATCAATACCGCATTGGAATGGAAGGGAGCAGTCAGCCAATTCAAATAATTAAAGGACTCCCTACCTCACTAATTGCGCGCTCCAATCTTCCATCGCAATCCTGCGAGACGCGGCGGGTGCGGCGTGCGCGACGCCGTCTCCGGGGAAATGTTCCCGGACCCCGTTCTCTGTGCCTAACCTTACCCTTTTCAACCCCATGGCAAACCAAAGATCCTAACGGTTAGCTCCGAAAAGAGAAGCGAGCGTAGAGAAGCACCTTTTCGTGCTTATCCTCAGGAGCAACTGCAAAAAATTTTGCAGGAGTTATACAAAAGAACAGGATAGTGGAGAATGGATGAACCATGTGGACGAGATCATTAGGCTTTTTACGAGAACTATGGATCCAGCCAATTTCGTTGCATGGTGAGTCTATTTGCGCAAGTTGCAGGAATCTGGACAGTGTTTCGAATCAAGACCCACCCACTGAGTGGTACGATCCCTCGGAAGGTGACTAAAGATGTTCGGTTCGCTGACTCGTAAGTAGGCAACACGAATATTGCGACAGCAGAAGTGATTGTAACGAAAGTTGCTATGTAGCTAGCCGAGTAAGATAAGCAAGCGCAAGCTTGGCCGCTCACTGTGGCCCTTACTGGAGTCTACTGAAGCTGAAAAAGATTCTGCACTAGTGATGAAACATACCCCAGTGTTTCGCTCAATCGTGCCTATATTGGCATCTGTTTCGGAGAAAGGAACCTCAAGGGATTCACATGATTGCTGTCTGAATGCAACAACCCGTCTTTTGACCTTGTGAGGATACTTATACTATCCCGCTTGAGACTTCCCGGGCAAGTTTAAAGAAAAGATTTAGGTATTTGATAAAATCTGGCAGATTGTTAAAGCTACAAAGGCTAAAAGTACGACTAGATCTTTCCAGACAACCGCAAAGAAGTCAGTTTTCACGTTGCTCTGCCAGTGTTGAACTGGAAAGGCTTGAGATATAGAACAAATCCGCAGGGTTCGAGTGGCAATTCTGATCAAGTGATACATAATTGGAACCGATTCTATCCATATCCCGAAGAATTCACTCGTTGTCATAGAGGAATTGGAGAGCCTATGCTGATTACAAAACCGACTACATCCCGAACATCTGGGTGCTTTCCAGCAGAGATCGGCACGGCTAGAATGGGCTGACGGAGATTCATCTGAACCCGCCCTCCGCGGGACACCAAAGAAGTCAAGCAACATTTCAGAGAAGTTTTGCCACGTTTGATCCAATTCTACAGAAGCTGTCGACTTCGGAATTCCTTAAGTCACTTCAAAGACGAATTCTTGCTATGGGTATGACAGAACTGAGCAGACTCCACTAGGCAAGCGGTTAGAGGCGGGTATGTAAGGCAGGCGCAAAAAATACTCTCACTGAGTTATCACAAGCATGACTTCAATCTTACAAAAAAGCATAAGCCATAAAAGTATAATAATTAAGGTATATTGATGATCCCGATAAAACTCTTCATAAGCATGGATTCTATGATGGTAAATTCATCAAAATAATGGCCGAACTCGACAAAGTTTTCGGGTATCTAATTGGCCAAATGAGGAGACACCGTCTGATCGATAAAATCAATATTATACTGGCAGCTGATCACGGACATGCACAGGTTCGGCCCACCACATAATACATGAAATTTTGGAATCTCAAATCTCTAAGTGTCACTTTATTTATTCTCGAGAACCTTCTAAAAACAGACTGCTTTATTTCAGATTGGCGGCGCGAAAAACGTTCTATGCATAAGAGAATACATAGATTATAGCCGAGTACTGACTGGACACAACATACTTTACCCCACTGATAAAGCTCTTTTTGATGAAGTATATGATAATTTGACAAAAGCCGTGAATGATAATAAACTGAAAATTAAAATCTACACAAAAGACGTAAGTAACTTTTGGATAATTTATCATTCCTCAATCACAAGATCAATTAGGAACTCAAAACCTGAGAACTATTAAGTAGACG